CACATGAAAGACAGGGAAGTGATTTGAGACAGCTAGCACAGCTTCAGCAAAGGAAGGTACAGTTCAAATAACCTACTGGCCTTGTACAATGGAGTGACTACCTCAGTGGAAAAGGGAAGGGCTATAGATGTCATCTACCTGGATTTCTGCAAGGCCTTTGACAAGGTCCCCACAACTTCCTTCTTTTTAAAGGAAACATATAGATTTGATGGGGAGACTGTTCAGTGGACTGGGCTTTGGGACCGTGTAAATGACAAAAACAAGTTTGCTCCAGGGGAGGGAATTCCTTATAGGAACAACCAGCTGCACACATTTTACTGTATCACATTTATTTTCCTGATGACCTCTACAGATCTCTGAAGGAAAGTCTCTCATTACTGCTTTTGTCAGCAGCACGCTTTGCATTTTTTGAGATTTGATTTACAGGGATGGAGAATCTCATTTAAGCTTTGCTGTAGTGTTGCTCTGATTAACACAGTCAATAAGGCACTGACAAGAAAACACAGCATCATAAGGAGGAGGAATACTCTGAAAAGGAAACCAAGAAAAAAATTAAAGGAAGCATCAGTAACTGGATTGAAAGTGGGGCAGCTCTGTTGTTGGATAAAGGGAAGATGTCTTTGAAGATGCACATGGGGAAAAAAATAAGTTGCTTCAGCCCTGCTTCCCACAATGGCTTTTTAGTTACAAGATGCTGTAAATTTACGCTGTGGGAATTCCAGCGGGAATGAGTAGGAAGAAAGCCACAGTAAAAACTTTCTAGCTTGCAAACAGCAAGTTAGAGAATTCTGTACTTGGAAAAGAGCTTGAGTTTCCCCAAATGACTGTTAAATCGTCTAGCCAAAAAAACCCATAGATTAAGGCATGTGCAGCGGCATATCCTGCTGGTTTCCCTCCACTCCTCTGACAGAGGGCTGCTTGGGCAATGGAGCTGCCCTGCAGATGAAGAGTCACTGTGGCTCATTAACAAAGCTGATCCAAAGGAGCTATGCCACAGACCCCTGAAACATGGAAACATTAAGAAATAACATAAGTGGTTAATGTGTAACATCACCATTTACTGGGCATATGAGATCTGACTTTAAGCCCACATTTTATGTTCCTTGTTTACCCAAACATGCCTGAACCTGTTCTGAGGAAGGTTCTGATCAAGCCAAGAAAAGTTGAGTCTGTGTATCACCTCTCTGTCACAACCATAGTCTCTAAGTTTCTTGTCTAGACAACTCCTTTTGGAATATCACATGTTACAAACCTTCCTTACACTGCATTCTCTTCAAATGTCTATTTGCACTGTGGGTTAATAATCCCCTCTGTGAAGGTTTTCTGCTGACTGTTGGTTTTGCAACCAGTCATTTTACTCTTTTTAATACCATGTGTAGTTTGGCAGGGCTTGGGATCTCCAGTTTATTCCTGAGTTTCAGGCAGAGGTGACAATGCTTTAGTTTTTACTGGGCAAAAGTATTGCACAGTGTGCTTTTATAGGGATAAACCTCATGTGAGAAGTACAGTAGCGAATGCCATGTTGGTGATGTATCCTCCTGAGAGGCCTCCTAAAATCTGCCATGAGGGTAAGGGGTGAGGATGACCAGAGAACATGATTCCAAGGGTATTGCTATCTGAGCAGTGCAGAAATTGCCAGCTGGTCTGCACTGCACTGCACCCCAAGGGCAATTATACCACCTGCTCACAACCCTCAAAGTGAAGAAAATCCCTCTCTGGTGACCAGGAGAGACAGAGCCAGACAGGAATGTCCACTGATTAAATTCAGAGTAACAGCAGCTTTGGGAGGTAATATTTTCTTTGCCTAAGAGAAACAGAGGGAAGACTCAAAGATATCTGCTTCAGAGAGCTCCTGGTTGTAAGGATACATATGCCAAGAAAATAAATAATACCTTATTTCCTCTCTAAGAAATGGTGGTTTTCAAAAAGGAAATGTCATTAAGTATATTTCCTAGGAAATATAAATAGAGACATCCAAAATAATCTCTCTCCTATTAACAGTGCCTGTGTAACACCATTATCATGCTGAGATTCTGAAAGGGATCTCTCAGATACGACCAAGGCACTTCAATAAGACTTCCAAAATAATTTCTTCCACAAACTCTTTTGGGCAGAAAGTGACATTTTTCCAGTTGACTTACTACTATAAAACATGTAGAGTAGGAAGAATGTGAGACATTCTTGGAATTTAATTTGGAATTCCCACTTTGGTGAACAGAGCAAGCAAACCTGAAACTGGCTGCAAAGCAGCAAGACGTGCCCCAAAATACATGGATTCTGAGTTATCCCCATGGTATCTGCCCACCTGAGCCAAGCAGAGGAGCACGAGTGGCTGACATGTTAGCACAGCCTGCAGTGTTTATTTCAAAGTGGGCCAAAGCCCAGCAGTTGATAGCACAGCATGTTCTGGGCTTCATGTGCGGATTGTGCAGATTTTCAGCAATCAGCTGCAGAGCTGCTCCTATCCTTCGTCTCTCACCAACAATGCTGTGTTTTCCCTCCTCAAGCACCAGAGTAACTGGCCTGTATATAGTTTGGGTGCTCAGAAGCCCATGGAAATGGAAATAACTTTACTCTTTGTGTTCCAGCCACAAGTAAAGCTATTTGTTGTAGTTGTGCCAGTTGCCTGCCTGTGTGGACTGACACACCAGGGCTTTTGCAAGAACACTGGGCAGAAAATAAAGGCCAAGTGGAGTGTGGTGCCCACTGTCTGCCAGTAAACAAGAAGGAAGAACTGGTGGCAATGGATGTGGAGAAGGCTGAGGTACTCAGTGTGTTCCTTGCCTCAGTCTTCACTGGAAGTCAGGTTTCCCATGCCTCTGGAGTCACTGAAACTGCAGGTGGTGACTGGGGGAGCAAAGTCCCTCCCACTGTAAGTGAAGAGCAGGTTTGAGACCACTTGATGCAGCTGAAAAGACACAAGTCTATGGGACTGGATGACACGCATCCCAGGTCCTAAGGGAACTGGCTGGTGTTGTTGCCAAGCCACCCTCCATCATATTTGTTAAGTCATGACCTTCAAGTGAAATCCTTGGTGAATGGAAGAAGGGAAATATCAGCTTGAAGCCAGGGTCCTCATAAAACAGGAAAGCTGGACAGGACAGAATGCACATCGAACCAATATGGTTAATGGAACGTTCTCCATTTATTAGTGAGAAGATGGCAGTTTATATATATTTCAATATAGTTTACAGTTTACAAAGGCACTCTCATTGGCAAGCTAGCATTGTTTACCTTTGCGTTAAAGTGGCCTAAACCTCACACTATAAACCTATACTACTTCACACCCAGACAGGCCAGTGCTTCCCATCACACCTCAATATAATTTCTAACTGCATCACAGTCTTAGAGGGCCTCACAAGGCCCAAATCTGAGGCCTAGGCTGGAGTAGCTCAAATCTCACTCCAGACATAAATCATGCCCTCTCTCTCTCAGAAATTCTGCAACATTATCTTATTTTTAAAAAGGGGAGAAAGGAAGATCTGGGGAACTACAGAGCAGTGAGCCTCACCTATATTCCTGTGAAGATCATGGAGCAGATCCCCATGGGAACAATTCTAAGGCACATGCAAGACAAGAAGATGATCCAAGACAGCCTGCATGGCTTTACTAAGGGCAGATTGTGCCTGACCAATCTGGTGGCCATCTGTGATGAAGGGATTACAGCCATCAAAAAGGGGAAACCAACCAATGTCACTCACATACCTCTACTTCCTTAAGAACTTTGGCATGGTCCCACATGGCATCCTTATCTCCAAATTGAGATACATGGGTTTGAAGGGTGAACTTTTTGGAAAATAGCCACACAGAGAGTTGTGGTCAGTGGCTCTATGTCCAGAAGTAGACCAGTGATAATTGGAGTCCATCAGGGTTTTCTGTTCTGGGACCAGTGCTTTTTAAGATCTTTATCAATGACACCCTCAGCAAGTCTGCAGATGACACAAAGCTGAGGGGTGCAGCTGACACAACAAAAGGATGGGATTCCACCCAGAGGGACCTGGACAAACTTGAGAAATTATTCCATACTTACCTCATGAAGTTCAACAAGCCCAAGTGTAAGGTGCTGCACCCGGGTCAGGGCAATCCCAGACATGAGAGGGAGATGGTCATGGGGTGGAAGCACCTCTCCTATGAAGGCAGGTTGAGAAATCTGGGGTTGTTCATCTCAGACAAAAGAAAGCTCCAGGGATACCTCATTGCAGCCTTCCAGCTCTTGAAATGGGCTTATAAGAAAGAGCAGGAGCGGCTTTTTGAGTGGGCAACTAGAAATAAGATGAGGATGGAATGGTTTTGAATTAAAAGAGTAGACACTTAGATTGGATGTTATGGAAAAGTTCTTTACTGTGAAGTTGATGAGGCACTGAAAGAGGTTGTTTAGAGGGGTTGTGGATTTCGTCCCTGGAAGTATTCAAGGCCAGGTTGGATGGGACTTCGAGCAACCTGGTCTAGTGGAAGGTGTCATTGCCCATGAAAGAAGGGTTGGAATGATCTTTAAGGCACCTCCCAGCCTCAGACTTCATAGGCTTCCAGGATTCTATGATCAATGCCTTGAGATACAGAATTCATGGGATAGTTAAATACAGGTTACAGGTGAAAGTTGGCTCAGCATCACAGCAATGATCAAAATGCTTACCAAGCTCTTTAATCTGGTCGCAATATTTCTGAACAGTGAAACTGGAAGGAGATAAAATTCTGCAGGAGAGATCCATGAAAAATATTTGCAAGTGACTGCACAAAACATTCTCTGGATACACAGAGACATCTCACCATGAAAGCAAAATGTTTAGCTACATGAAACACTGCATAAAATAAATCCACTGCTGATTGCAAAAGATTCTTTATTGGTATCAGCACAAAATGGATTACAGACAATGGCAGAGCTCTCACATCCGGTGGTCCTGTGACACTGGGGGAAAGGGCAGCACAAGCAGAGGCAGAGAACAAGGTCTCAAATTTCTTGCTGCAGCTGCATCTTTCCTCAGTGCTGCAGGATTTGCATTCTAACAGCCACAGCCAGGGCGAAGGGGACGCAGGAAGGAAAGCTTGTCATTGAACTTGATTGCCTTGTAATTTGGAAGGTGTTCGTGCTCTCGTGCAATGTATTGAAATCCACTTCCATCACCGTGCTCACACAGCAACCAGACACCTTTCTGGACTTTGTGTGAAGATGTGGTGTCGTTGTCATGTCCCCTGGACAGATTGGTGGCTTCTCTTATTATTCTGCTCTTCCCTCGATAATCAGCATGTTCGTAGAGAGTGATCTGGGGATTGTGCAGATTTTCAGTGATCAGCTGCAGAGAGCTGATCTTGTCGTTCATCTTTTTACCAACGAAGTCATGATCTCCCTCCTCAAGTACCAGTAACTGTCCTTTATAGTCTGCATGCTGATAAGCCACCCAAGGATGGCCAATTACTCTCACTGAGGAGATACAATCGTTCCAATCTGCATCTTTTAGGTTGGCAATGTTGGTGTGGAATTCTTTGGACATACCCTGGAAGTTAGCATGCTCATAAACTATGATTTTTCCCATCTCAGCAGGGCTTCTGAGGTTTGGATTTTCTGCTGTTGGATGGCAGCCTACAGAAAATGAAAATAGAAAACAAGTAATGCTTGTAAGAGACCTTTATACACCAGACATGAAGTGCTGGAAACCAGAGGGGACGAAAGTTAAAAAGGAAATACAAAACAATTTTAGCAGAAGATAAAAATAGCAGCAGCTGTGAAAGAGTGAGGACATGACACGGAAATTTTAGTTTGGAGGAAAAAAGTAAAATGAAATTTGTACACCACAACAATCCAGTTTAATTTAGTATGTATACAAGTGAGGGACACCTGAGCATTTTGTTTAACATCTTATTGGTGTATCCTAAGTAATAACAAAATAAAATATACAACTCATGATAAATCTTTCTGTTGATAATTGATGCTGCAGATGAGAAATGTTTTAGAAACTGGCACTCATTGTTTGGAGTCAGTTTCATGAGCCACATAGAATGCAATGTAAAAGTAGTGAGACATGCAATTAATTTCTAAAAGAAAGTGAATTTTTTACATAAAATCAGGAGGGGAATAAACCTATCTTTTAAGGGCAGAAATTAACTTTAAATTCACTGAAACACCTTATTTTCTTTTTATATGAATTTTACTGAAATCAAGATTCCTTCTCTTGATATACACTGAGAAGCAATCAAGTTGTAAAAATCAGCTTTTTAAATCAGACTGAATTTCAGGTTTTAAATGTCTTTTCGTAACACTACTACCAATACACATATTTAATTCCCCACAGTTGTCTGAGTTCAGTTAAAAAGCCAGAGTGTTTATTAGTAACAGCTGCAGAAATAGTAATGAGCAGTCAGTTATGATAATAGCTCCCTTTCTAAATCATGTAACAGTTACTGAAACAAAGATTTACATTTCAGGACAAATAAATGAGACTAAAAAAGCCACTCCTCTAGCTGATTCTGAGAACGGATGGGACAAGACAGCAGAATGTTTTTAGCAGAATAAACATAGCAGTAGCTGGAAAGGAGTGAGGGCATGACATAGAAATTGTCATTTGGAAGACAATGTATAGTGAGCTATGTACCCATAACTACCCAGTTTTAATTAGATGTATGTGTTGGTTTACAGATATCCGCCAGTGTAAGTTGTAAAATACTCTCACATTCAACTGTGTGTCACTGGCCCCCTCCACCCTGTCCCTTGGTAAGGTTTGTTCCTCCTGCAGCAGCCATCTCCTTGTGCCCTGAAGGATGGGCTCAGTCTCTGCACATGCACACAGCAGAGCCTCCCGTCTGTGCTGCAGCTCTCAGCCCAACGCTGAAGCCTCCTTCCCTTCCCCTGCATTCCACAGCAGCTGCCCAGGAAACCTCCCAGCTCTCCTGTGCAAAGTGTGCCTCTTACCTGGATGCCAGCTGCAGGGCTGGGGAGAGCTGAGGGCAATTCCTCCAGGGCACAGCTGCTCTTTGTGAGGGGCATCTCACCTCCCTGTATTTATACGTGCACAGAAGTCTTGTGCAACACCTCAGTCAACAGAACTGAGAAATGGTCAATAAGTGAACAAAAATCATTAACTATTTTATTTAAATTTTGATCTTTCTACAACCAATTGTGTTATTGCTTTGGGTCAAAAGTCTGTTGAAGCATAAGCCCTTGATAAAACCTTAGAACTTTGGTTCTTGTTTCTTGTTTGTCCTTCTCCTCCAGAAGCATATTAATCACAGTAATAAAAATGTATCAAAGTACTTTGTGATACACAAGCAGTAGAATTTTTCTGCCTATTGCAAATTTTTCTTTACCTGTGAAGAAAATATAATAAACAATGTTCATTTGCCAAAGGGTTTTGTTGGGACATGTCCACTTGACATGGGTAGGGGCATTTAAGTAGGGTTTTATTAAATTATCTTCTTCTTTCTCACCTATGTAGCCATTTGAGCAGCTGCAAGGAGGCAGAGCTGCTAAAGCAGGGCCAGGAGGCTCTGACAAAGCTGCAGGGGCAATATTTTTCTTTTTTTCTCATTGCAGGCTCAGTCTGCAATATGTTTTCAGACAGGTTCATTGGCTAGCATGCTGTTCTGATGCTGGAGAAAGCAATAGGATCTTCATTAGTTCACTTGAGGCACCCCTGCTCTGTGAGGTAGGAAGTAACTGGAGAAGATGGGGAGCTGAAAGGGAGATAATTCGTTCCTGCAAAACAAGCAGCCTGTACACCAGATCCAGCCAAATCCTCATGCTGTGTCTCTTTCACTGGTGCTTGCCTGAGCCCATAACTAAGCCAGATCACAAAACTAAGCCAGCATAAAACTACTTGAGGCTTTGGAGTTTTTTCCATGTGATCCATTGTTTTGCTGCTCTGCAGAGGCTGGAAGCAGAGCAGTTGAATTTTCAAAATTGAAATTTTGGGGTTTTGAAGAGAAACAGGCCCTCACTTTATAGCAATAGCTGGATGAGAAGTTCCTTTTCTGAACAGGCAAATCACACCTTTAGGGCATGTTTTTGTGTGTTGCAGTGACCTCGGCCTACAGTTCAGTGCTGCTGGAAAGGGGAGTACTCCATTCCACTCCTGAAGCATTGTGTCCACTGTGTGGTAAAGAGAATGGAGGAAGAATGAGAACACCAATGTGAGGAATGCTTGAAAGAGGGACCAAAACAGCCTAGAATAGGATGGATTTACACAGACACTGGACAACATTCTTTCTTCTTAGCTTGCTAATATGTTTTACTCATCGAATTACTATTTGTGCTTCTGGAAAAAAAATCAAATAATGTGTAATGACATAATTAATCATGAATTAAACATTCCCATCTTCCCCAGCACCTGCAGAAAGTACCTTTGACCAAATGTATGAGCCACAAAGGCATCACAAAGCCCAAGTCTGAGTGTATCTCAGCTATGGTACAGAGTAGTTTACATTTCTCAATCCTACATTTCAGGCAACAGTGAACTCCTAAGCCATGCAAGTACTCCCTGCAGAGCACCAAAGACAGCAGTGGGGCTTTCTGTGGCTTTGAGGAAAATCAAAAGGTGATGTATGATGGAATGCTATATGATGGAATCCTTTACCATGTTTTCTGTGCTGCTGCAAAAACATGGAAAAGGACATCTGTACAAATACTCCCAGGTTCACAAAAAGAAATTAGTTCCTGGTTGTCACTCACCATCTGTCCTAGTGTAATTGGATTGAAAACTAAATGGCTTTTAATATCATTAATCTCACCTATATGGTGCTTTATGCAAAAGGAAGTAAGTCACTGAACAATGCAGAACAACACAGGGTGGGGTTGAGGGGTTGATATTGGAAATATTTATGGAGTTTTCTTTGTGGGTTGGGTTTGTTTGTTTTTATTGCTTATGGATCACAGACTGGTTTGAGTTGAAAGAAACCTTAAAGATCATTCCAACCCCCCTGGCATGGGCAGGGACACCTTCCACTAGACCAGGTGCTCAAAGTCCTATCCAACCTGGCCTTGAACTATTCCAGAGATAAGGAATTCCCAGTTGCTCTGGGCAATCTGTTCCTGTGCCTTACTACCCTCACAGTAAATAATTGTTCCTAATATCTAAACTAAACCTGCCCTCTTTCACCTCAAAGTCATTCCCCCTTGTCCTCCCACTGTGCGTCCTCATCAAAAAATCCCTCTCCAGCTCTCTTTTAGCCCCTTTGGCTACTAGAAGGCCACAATAAGGTCACTCCAAAGCCTTCTTCAGGCTGAGCAACCACAGCCTTCTCAACCTTTCCTCACAGGAGAGGTGCTCTAGCCCTCCAATCATCTTCATGTCTCTCCTCTGAACTCGCTCCAACTGGTCCATAGCCTGAGACTTGCGCTGAGGTCCCCAGAGCTGGACACAACATTTTGGGTGGAGCTAATTTATGGGAAACAATGTTTCCCAAAATTCCTCTTATCACCCTCCTGCAGAAACAGTGGTATCTCAAAATCTGAAAGCATCAGACAAAAGTGAAAAGATAAGACAAGGAGGATAAACCCCTCTTCCTCTATTGCCCTCAGCACATGAAAAGCAACCGAAGGAGCAAGAAGAACAGTGACACACAGATTCTTTGAAAATGTGCAGCTATGCAAAAAACACTCCAGCAAGGGAAGAATAAAGACTAAAATATTTTCATTTTTTCCATAAAACTGTTTTTTGGTTTTGTTTTTTTTCTTTCTTTAGAGACTATTTACTACTAGATTGCAGGGTGATAAAACAGTATCACTTAAAGCTGTGGATGTCACATATGCACCACTTCACAGTGCTGGAAAAGGTTAAATGGTAGAAAAATTTAACAACAAACTCCTTCACTCACCAGATCCTGTTGTGCTCCTACCCTGCTCTACCACTGCAGATATCTTAGTTTGTATCTCAGCACTCATCTGTTTTTATTCCTTACTTTAAAACAAGAGGACTAAGCAACCAGTAAAATCACACATGAAGTATAGCCCCCCAGTTTCTGTTTGCTATTTTTGTCTGGTAGTTTTGGGCTCAAGGTGGCAGAGCACTGGTTCCTTTATTTCAGAGGAAACTTTGTGGTTGGAGAGGGTGGTTTTTGGAGTGGGTTTTTTATCCACTTAGCAGTTGTTTGTGCTAGTAATATTATTCTTCATCACAAAAATAAAGTTTATTTCCCACTTTTCACACTCCAACTTCTGTTTCTTAAGCAAAACAGCCCCCAAAAATGCAACATAGGAAAGTGCCACTGGACCACAGAACCCTAAACTGTGAACAGCCTACATGCTAATAAATGTATTCACTACCAAACCCTTCGGGGGAGGAAAAAAAGGCCCTTATTTTGCCTAGCACATATCTCACATTAACTCCTCTTTTTTTGCTTTCCTCTGTTTGCTGCACTTCCCAGTTGCCTCTCTTCAGTACAGCAAACTGAACAACACTTTTTCAGCAAGAAGAGAGACGACAGATTTGTATTGGATGACTGCTGCATATTCAGTCACAACACTGTGAGTGAGCTCCAAAGAAATTGTACTGGAAAGAGAGGCACAGCAAACACAGACTGACAAAAGCTTTACAAGTCCCAC